TGCTTAAAACGTTTACCGCTACCATATAAACTTTATTCGAACGATCAATGAAGTGATCAACTTCGAAGCGATGATCAACACAAGAAAGACTACCCCATTCAGTGACTATTCGATAGCCTCAATTTGCGAATCACGTGAATACAACTTGTCCTAAGCTGTAGAATGTGCATTTCCAAGCAAAAACAGCGAAGGTACTGAGATTTAGTACCATACAATCCACTTGAATTGCTAACCCCAGTGAATAGGAAATACTGCAAGTCCATTTCATTCCGTCGGGGGTCGAGTGGATTTCAGTCAATATTCTATTGACCAATAGGTAAATGATCATAATGCTTTACTGGGCTGGTTTTGGATAAATACGGATTACTTGGCGTTTGACTTATTCGCTATTGCAGTTTTCAAGCTATTGAGCAAAATTTAAATGTTTCTTTCAAATCATATAACAAACTGCTCAGTGCTGGTGTCAAATAAATTTACTAAACTCTAATGCATTCTGTTATTGTGCAATATTTAAATCAGTTGGCACGAATCACATTGTTCTAAAAACTACCGGAAATCCGTGGTTGTTAATGTTTTGTTGTTGTTATTGTGGTTGTTATTGTTGTTGCTGCTGTTGTTATTGTGACATTGGCAGATACTCTCTGAGATTCAAAAGCTGTTCACCACTTCAACTGCAATCTGCCAAAAATGTTTCACCTTCCTCACAATTCGATTCCAATCCATCAATGATGCAACTGACAAGCAGGTATGAAAAACAGTGAACCATTACCGAAATTCAGTCTCAATGGAATGCTGGGGGGGCGAAAGAGAACAGAACTCTTTTGTCTACGTCAAACAAATTGACATCCACGATGGGAAATGCAATCACATTCATTTAAAATCAGTAGGATTTTGTACAAACACACAGACGTCCAGCGTCAAGTAGGCAGTTGCTTACCTCAAAACGTTCAACAGTGACTTTGAGCAAATCCCATTCTCCATTTTGCACGTAGTTTGACATATCTACATCCTCGTGTCTAAGAATACAAACGGTAAATTTGCATTTTTAATGTGCACAATAATAATAATAACTAATAGTCCGAAAAAAGACACATAGGTTGATTCGCATGAATGGACATCAGCTATTTGCCGCAAACGCCAGAATAGTAAATCCTAAATAATGGATAGACAAGAGAGCACTGTGGTTTCCATTCTCAATGAGAAGCAAAATATATTTCATCGCTTCTCTCGAGGCTGACAGTGATTGTTTTTATCCAACCAACGTAGTACAATCGAAAATAACCTAAGGTTTGAACCATTCTGATAAACAAGTTATTTTCTCTTTCTATAGAGTTAAGTCAAACAACCATAGAACGATAAACTCCATAATTTACCGTACAGGTAGAGCCTTGCAGACTGCAACCAATCTAATTTTAGCTTTTCCGTGAAATGGTTTATGAAGTTAGGAGGTTGCGGTACCACGTATTCACTCACCGTGAAAAGTCAATGCGTCATTCACTACTAAAAGCCTATGAGACACTGTTTTGTTATCGTGAAAAATCATCAGATTTTCGCTGAGGTTGGAGCCCCGGACGGGGAATTTGTACATCCGGTACTTTAATCACTCAGGCTATCTTGAATAGCTTTCAACCGTCTTATGTCGTTAAAACTACTTATTATACCGTCCCTCTATCTTTCGACTTGTCTTATAAAAAGTTCGTGTAAATGTTTCGCACATTCGTGGTTGTAAACTTTTATAAAATCGTGCTTCTGGAATTTGCTAGCTGTGTTGTTCATTTCGGTACATTCAACGAAGGCTACGGATTAACACTGTATAACGTATCGACAAGCAAGCTCGAATGATTAGCGCATCAGAGTAATCCTTCTTTTTATCTGGTTTCTATTTTACCTGTTCAATAATTTGTAGGTGAAGTTTGAGAGTCTCAGTTGGCCACGATTAAGATTCATCAAGATAAAGTATTACTTCCAAATTCTAGTTGGACTAGAAACATAAATCTTTGGGTTTGAAGCAAAAATCTTTACCTTTGAGCTAAACTTATTTTCCATTTACTTAGTACGTGTAAGCATGACCATTCGTTTGGCAACTGAGTTCAGAGCGTTCCACAAAATAGTGCATCATAGGAAATTTTGTAGGCACAAGCTTGGTATTCAATATTCCAAAATGTCGTAAAGTCAACAGACAGTCGATTTTTTGGGCCTCGTTAACATTAATCCTCTACAAAGATATGGATAAAAACATCTCAGTGTATTCAGGAAAACAAAACTGAATTATACTACTACCAATCTGCACCTTAGGCAACAAATACCGATTCAAGAACTTTCCTGTCTAAAAAAACAGTTCAGGGGGAAACAGGAGAAACATACACAGTTGTGAGAAAATTCATATGCTGCTGTTAAAATGAATGCTCTGTTTGATAGCTATCTAGAATCAATAATTTTTGATTAAAAGGTAATTTTTCCAGGTGTATCACAACCACGTCAATAATAACTTTCTTTCCAAACTGAGAAAACGGACCCGGTTCTTATTCTTGAACGAATGCTGAGTTTTAGTCAACGGTCTTCCTCTGACATGTTGGTCGAGCTGGTACAGTCAACCCACTACGGATAGGAACTTGGATGAAAACAATATCGTACCAACTTACCGTTTTGTAATATTTAGCTGCCAACCATCATAAGCCCAGGAGCCAAATTTCATCATACACGATTGGTCATCAAACGGAAAATAAGTGATGTCAATTTTACATGCAGAACGAAGCTTGGCTGGTGGAGACCAGAACACATTGCCCGTACTATGAACCATAGCTTTAATTTGCATGTATCCACTTGTATAATCATCAGCGCTGAAAAAGAGAACCAGTCACAAGGGCATTAGACGTGGGGCAAATTCTATAACCAATTGTATCTGAACAGTTTGCATAGATAATTTGGAACCTTCCAACAGCAATGAGAATATGTTCAGTTGACTGGAATCGTACTTGTAAATTTCCACTCTCCTGCAGAGTCTTAATAATTCCGGCAATTGACTCTATTCCATGTATCACTCATCGGTATAGAAGTACTCCTGATCGATATTCACTCATTTCGGTGGATGCGCAGGCTCTTCCGTATGCATGCTGAGTTGGCCAAATTTTTGTAAGAAATAAAACAAACTCTGGAAAACGTAAACGGATCCGCTTGTTGCTGGTCTAATACGCAGTCAGATCAAGGCAAATGATTGTACACGCAACTGTTATTGGGTCCATTTGATAGAGATGGAGTGTGTGAGGGAAAGTCCATTTCAGTCGCAGGACACCGGTGCACAAATAAAATGAGCCTAAGCAATGTCCCGTACACTGAACACGTAGTTAATCCAGCGCTCGTTTTTGAGCCAGTCAAGCTTGTGGAATAAATCCAGTTGAAAAAAGCCTTTCGTTTATTGTACCTTAACAAGCGTGACCCGTGCAGGATTGTATTCGTTTGCCATGTTTAGTATATTTTTACACAATACGAAATAGTTGTTCTTAAATGGAAGACGTTTTATCAATATATTTAAAACAATTCAAGTGGTTGGAACAACTGATTCGTTATACTACTAAAAGTATTGCAATCATTTCTTAAAGATAACGTTTTTCCACTATCGATATTGTCTTGATGCCAGCTTTTAAAAGATTTCTCTTCCAAAAAGTATTCACTCCCGAGGTCCTTTTCAATGGTAACTAAGTAAGAGATACTCCAATTAAATCGACGGACAAAACACTGTAATTGGTATTGTTGAAACGTGAAAGATAAAACACGAAGTCGAAAAAAACATGTGTCAACAGTATTCTATAAACATATTCTGTCTCCTGGAAAGCAAGATTCACACACTTTTAAGCGACTATTGCTTTCAGTAAGGGCAGAAATATTGCGTACCTACCTGTTGTATAGTACTATATCAGGTAGCCAGAGCTTTTCACAAGGAATTCGAACTATACGTAAATTATTGTATTCTGCCGGGTCCCAGCGAAGTCTTTCATCATTCCATTCCTGGAATAAGAGAGATAAGTGAATGAAATGATTTTTATAGGATAGAGCACATAAAAGCAGAGTATTTTCCCATTTGGGCATATCTATGGCATTGTTTGCCTCTTCAATAGACAAGAAGTATTTACGTTTTACAATACGCAGTCAAATAAAACTACTATATGATATGCTTCTGACTTAGCTAGTTGCATTTAAAATAAGGATGACATTATGTTACAGTTATCACTCAGAGATTTGTATCAGCCAGTAATTGTTTTCGATTACTCATCCTTGTCTATAGACTGCAGTAGAGATCAAAGCCATATTTAGAGAGAGGGCACTGTGGTAGTCAATCTGCAGTTGATCGTGAGCGGTGGGTGTGCTAATGGTTGGAGCGGGTACATTTACTGCGTTCGACTCATTGTCCCCTTTGTGTAACGAACCTGTTGAAATTGATCCTGTTTCACTGCTTTTATCTTCAGTTTCTAGTCATCGAAATAGGAAGAATCAGGAAATTGTAAAGTGATGTGAACGCTGCAAGAAATGGTTACAGTAAAACAGGTTTGTGGATTTGCCTCATTATTTGCGTTAGGACGATATGCGTTCTGTTATGGTGACTCTCAAACGATGTCAAGCAAATGCTTTTTTATTGTGTGTATGACGTGAAACGCGAACAGATTGCTAATAACATGAAGTGCAATAATCCTGGAAAAAATAATGAGATAAATTAAAAACAACTTTAAAACGACAAAACAAAGCATTACGTGCAATTTTTAATGGACATGTAAAGCAGAAGACTACTGGAAACATAAATTCCGTTTTAGGCTTGCATCACAACTGAAGGTTATTAGACACAGCACCGTGAATAAGGCATTTTCCAACCCTTCTGCTTTGATATAAATGATTCAAAGGTTCACTACAATAGTATACCACGAAATGCAAACAACAGGACTGTTCGTTCGGGTGAAACGTTTTCAGCTTCACTGTATTTCAGTCTATATCATCAAAATGTTACGGTCCTATTTGTAAATTAAAAAACAGAGCTATCACAATGGTCGAATCAAAAGCATGGCATAATAATTAATTACTCTGAAAGTTTATTAACAGTTGTACGCCCATCACCGAACTGTTATCAAACAATGAATCGTAGGAAAACAGAATTTCTTAAAATATGACGAACATTGTTTTCGCGGTCAGAGAGTGTGTGATCAACTCAGAGCAAATCCTGGAAGAATAAAGTCATTTCAAAGATGATTGATGCGTTTCAGAGAATGACTACTACATATATTGGATGAACACGTGTCAATATAAGACAAGCTTATTTGTTCGGCTATTCGGAGGACGCTAAACATATTTATGTAATAACTGCTCCCGTGATTGAGGAATCAAATGATTTGCAATGATTTTAGTACCAATATCAGGTTCAACGTTTTGTTTTTACCATAAAAGTATCTGTTGTCTCAGAAAAGAACGTATATGAGCAACATTTACTGGTTGTGTATAGAGTAGAACCAGTTTACACACGCTCAAGCAAGTGGTTGGTGGAAGGTGAATAATTTGATTACACACCGACCGCATCAGCTGACCCATAACCTATTGTTGTTATTCTACGATGGCTGCATTCAATATTCTTTCCCGTTATCGAATCTCTTCTTCGTAGCGTGTGATAAACAAATTCCCTGTGCATTACTGCTCTGTCCCATATAGCAGATTCCACAATAGTGAATAGTATGAAAACTTGGGTGCACAGGCACGTGCTGGTTAAATGCAGGAAGAAGGCCTTATACGTATCTTAGTTCTATTGTCCTATAATCAATCACTCCTAGAGTGATACCAATCACTTGTTTTGTTTCAACTATGAGGTGAACAAAACGGATACTATTAGGCTGCATAAGTAACTTGTCGATTAAACGATTACTCGCCCCTTAAAAATGTTTAATTTAGGAAGAACCAAAGCCGAAGTGATTTGACATTATTAGAATGCCCGATGTCTATACAGTGAGCATCAAATATTTCCAACAGCTACGATAATTGTCGTTACTTAAGGGTTCGCAATCCTCAGATTGCACACACGCGCAGTCGTACACAGCATCAAAATGCAAACAACGAATTGTAGAATTCTGTTGCATGCTTACCCTTCCTATAGATCCAACTTTTGATCACCAGTTCTAAGTTATTTTTAAAAGAAATTTCTCGTTCCTTTATGCAAATAAGCTACTGCACGAATTTCATTTGGAAAGCACTGAAATGTGGAGGTTTTTTCGGGAGTGTCTGGAAGGTGAAAAGTAGAGCCTGACAGGAACTAAATGCATACTGCAGAGAAACATCTCGTTGAGTCGAGCACAAAGTGCACAAATAGCGTAGTTCCTAACTCTGAGTAACGACGTAAGAAATAAGGCAGTCCAGATATCTCAGCTATTCGATGAAGTGTGTCGTCATTTTAAGTTATTTTGCATAACTTATGATAAATACAATGCAAAGCCTAGTTTGAAATACACCACTGGTATTACAAATCACAGCCTTCATGCACAAAAATGAATCACACTTGAACTTCACAACGCACGTCAGAAGTCAGGCGCAGATTAAACTGGATCAAGTCTACGAGGGGTTTGCTTGCAAAATAGGCAGAAGTATCTGGCATAGTTATCTCAACATATAAGACATCGGTCCTGATTCAGCTGAATTCAAAATTAAAATACTACTGAATGAAGCCTTGTAATTTGAATTTAACTGCAATCGTCTTACATTCGGGATGTGCACAATTATTTTCAGTGTAACTAAATGAAATTATAGACAGTGTATTTTCCTAAAAATGGTGTCTATGTCTGTAAGTGATTTGTTTGATAATCGCTAATAAATGTACATTCCATGACTGATTGACTTTCATTTATTATTGGTTTTCTCTTCATTATTATCCATTGGTTCGTTCCAGTAAACCCGTAATCCGTTCCTGGTTATACGACTGACTCCGTAAGCTTGTTCTCATACAGAATATGAACTATATCATGAAGATACCAAAAAAATGTTAAACACAAATTGTTTGAAATCATTCAAAATGTCTGCCTCGAGTTCTTTTCAAATTTTCCATTAAACGTAAAGAGAACACTGGGTCTCCTTTCTCCCCTAAGATTTACAAATCCAATGTGCTATAGATGTGCCTGTTTGTTTTACGTTAGCAATCGAGAAGATTAATGGAAATGTTAAAATCTTGAGACTACTGTCTTCATACGAACAACAAAGAGGTCACAAAACGTTTTATGCTCAAGCCTCTGAATGTGCTCTGGCTACAAACATCCATGAAATCATGATTGATACTCTTTTCATTTTTGAGGTTTTATCTGTTTGCATTCACCTGCTACTTTAAGCACGAATAAATTTATGCTTTATTCATCAACTCACCTGTTCAATCCAGACATTCAGCGTGAGTACTTGATTAACTTCATCCTATGATAAAAAAAGGTTTGATTAGACATCTGTTCATGGATTGATAATTCTCAGAACTTCAGTTTTTATCGGGTATAATTTATATTAAATATGTAACTTACAGCGGCGGTCATTTCGCATTAAAATGAACAAATAAGAAATTTATCTTGTTGTTTATGCTGCTCAATATCTACTACTTGTAGTCGGACTACAACATAATGTGCTCTTAGTCAGATTTCGACTGGAATTTGTTAATCGTCACCGAATACATTAGTGTATGATGGAAATATCCGAATTCGAGGTATATTGCAAAAATACACAATCCGTTAAGGGAGGAATCACGCTTTAACACAGTTTGTAAAGTGAACTAAAGATTTAAATCGGATAATTTAAGGTAACAGTCATCAATTCATTGCAAAAGTCAAAGAATAAATCGCAGTTTCTATCGATGTCAAATTGTCATTTCGTGGCTAAAGTCAAGATGAAAGTTATAAATACGCGCGATAAGCATCTATTTCAACGATGTGAGCTGAACTGCTTTAATGCAATTATACGCATTATTTTTTCGGTCGTAACAATTTAACCCGCTTGGTATTGAGTCATCACCATTTTTAAAACAGATCAGTTTGAAAATTACACCTCCGCTTTTGTAACAATTAAACGGTCTGGTTTTATATTGCTATGTAATATTGAAAACATTCGCAAACATTGTCATAAAATAGATACAGAAGAATTCTTAATTTTTTCCTCGTCGATTACGAACTAGTCATGCTCTGATTACACCCATCCAAATACCAACTGTAGAATGAGTATGTACACAACACAGCTGTTAAATATTCGCTGTAGATTGTATTTATCACTCCGTATATCAAAACACTATCAAATGATTCATAACCACTGGTGAATGATCCGGACTCCAGACTTTATGTGCTGTTATGACACATTCCATCAAAACTATTAACATTAGTGTGCGTATTTCGTCTATCGACCAACCTGCAATTAAAGACCGAAAAAATCAAAATTCACATCAATCACTAAACGGGTCTCACACAAAGGTCTCTTGGAACATGAATTGAATCTGGTTGCTTTCGTCATCGTTTTAATTAATATTCTTCAAAAGAGCAAATGCTTAAACGCATCAAACCACAAAACTTTTGGTTAGGATTTCTTTCTCAGTCATTACAGTGTCGATTATTAGCAATCTTTGGGGATCAAACTTGTAAAAATTATAAATGATGATTGTTTACCTGAATACTCAATTGATCAAGGATACCATTACTATTTTCGTTGGTTTCAGAAGATAAACGACATAATAGAATAGATGAATGACACGAGTTATTTATCTTCAAAGAAGTAAACATACATGCTAAACAAACTCTTTTATATTTTTGCTTTGACCGCAATCAACATCTAAGGCTTAATTTCTCATTCAAGTGAACAATTAGGTTATCTCTCTTACTGCATGACAATATCTATTTACGTTTAAAAATTCATAGAAGAAACCTGAGGAAACAGTTGCTGACAAAATGGATCTGCTTTTGTGTTTCGGATTGTTTTTTTGTGTTATAGATCCGTTCGTCTTAGAAAGCTGACTAATGAATTATTAAGTCGAAAATTAAGCAACTCTCAAGCCATTTGGCACTACTGAAAATCAAGTGCAAGAAAATATACAACTGCATTAA